TTTTGGGGTACATGTGGTATTTTGATATCTGTATGCAATGTGTAATAACGAAATCAGGGTAATTAGGATATCACCACCTCAAACATTCATCTTTTTTGTGGGTGTTGGGAAGAAAAGGAAACATTTTTGTCATGTATAATTACTACTAAATGAACTAAGTATTTCTTGTTTTTAACACTTACCCTATCCCGTCCGATTGGTAGTGGATGCGCTGTGTACATGTTTCTTTTGCCATCATACCCAGGCTGCCGATCACCAAATATTTGCATCTTGAAGTGCCGCACCATTGTATCTACTACCTCCCTTCACAGTAATGGAGATAATGGCAATTAGCTTTCAGAAATGGTGCACAGTAAGAAAAGCATCATCATACCTTAATCATTTAAATTTGGTTCAGTATTACTTGGAAAAAGTAAGAGTTAAGGTTACAACTGATTCGAGTACTTTAAAAAATAGTTAACTAAAGAAAGGTAGCAACAAGTGAAGAAAAACAACTATAAGATGATATCAGAAGTGGGGAATAAAAGGAAAGCGAGAATAACATTTATAGTATCCTCTCAACCTCCTCTTTCCAAAATCCTCTCCTATGATAAACACAGCCTTATAAGAATAACCTGGCTGGGGCCGGGCGCAGTGGCTCACGCCTGTAATCCCAGCACTTTGGGAGGCCGAGGCGGGCAGATCACGAGGTCAGGAGATTGAGAGCAGCCTGGCTAACACGGTGAAATCCCGTCTCCACTAAAAATACAAAAAATTAGCCGGGCGTGGTGGCAGGCGCCTGTAGTCCCAGCTACTCAGCAGGCTGAGGCAGGAGAATGGTGTGAACCCAGGAGGCGGAGCTTACAATGAGCTGAGATCGCACCACTGCACTCCAGCCTGGGTGACAGAGCGAGACTCCGTCTCAAAGAAAAAAAAAAGTGTAATCCCAGCACTTTGGGAGGCTGACGTGGATGCATCACTTGAGGTCAGGAGTTCGAGACCAGCGTGACCAACACAGTGAAATCCTGTCTCTACTAAAAATACAAAATTAGCTGGGCATGGTGGGTACCTGTAATCCCAGCTACTCAGGAGGCTGAGGCAGGAGAATCGCTTGAACCTGGGAGGCGGAGGTTGTGGTAAACCAAGATCGTACCATTGCACTCCAGCTTGGTCAACAAGAGCGAAACTCCATCTCAAAAAAAAAAAAAAAAAAAGAATAACCCATCTTACATATCTAAGTTTGACACAGAGGTACATCACTGACGATAAGTTTTTCATCAAATCAGTATCCTGGCTGGGTGCAGTGGCTCACGCCTGCAATTCCAGCACTTTGGGAGGCTGAGGCGGGTGGATCACTTGAGGTCAGGAGTTCAAGACTAGCCTGGCCAACATGGTGAAATCCAGTCTCAACTTTAAAAAACTACAAAACTTAGCCAGGCATGGTGTAATCCCAGGTACTTGGGAGGCTGAGGCATGACAATCGCTTGAATCCAGGAGGTTGCAGTGAGCCGAGATTGCACCACTGTACTCCAGCCTAGGCAACAGAGTAAAACTCTGTCAAAAAAAAAAAAAAAAATCCTTATCCAGGTATATTCATTTTGAGAAAGAGAATCAGCAGGAATTCAAAAATCTGAGGATCAGTAAATCTAAGATTCATGATACACAAACAAATAAGTCAACCCCTTTGCCTTATGCTAGTGATTTATTGTCTTATTCCAAAGTGCTTATTCCAAACAGTGTAGACAAGGGAATGTTGTAAAATATTCTCTTTTCAAAATGATTAATATAGCTTCTTTGTTTTTAGAATGAAAGTATTTTTCTCAATCAAGCATCCAGAGCTTTACTTAAGTGTTCTTGCATATATGCCAGATCACACTGTACACAGGCTGTGGAATAAATGCAGCGGCAAAAAAAATGGTGTATAGCGTTTAAGATATGGACAGACCAGGGTTTGTGAGATTTTTGAATGCTAGAGTCAATGAAAAGTTAGGTGCTTTGACTTAGCAATGTTAGTGAGTTTCATACGTGGGAACAATATCTTAAAAGCCAAAATACATCACAACTAGCTAACACATTTATATTACCACAAACAAAATCTGTAGGAAAGTCATGTTTAGGAACCAAATCATGCGACTGAAAAAAACTGATGGGAGAGATGTGGTATCGTACAATCTCCATTTTGAAGAGCTAACTTAAGAGCTATACATTTTTACACTAGAAAAGAGTAATTTCTCATCTTACATTCTTTTTTTTTTTTTTTTTAGGCTGGAGTGCAGTGGCGCGATCTCGGCTCACTGCAAGCTCCGCCTCCCGGGTTCACGCCATTCTCCTGCCTCAGCCTCCGGAGTAGCTGGGACTACAGGCGCCCGCCACCTCGCCCGGCTAATTTTTTTGTATTTTTTTTTAGTAGAGACGGGGTTTCACCGTGTTAGCCAGGATGGTCTCGATCTCCTGACCTCGTGATCCACCCGTCTCGGCCTCCCAAAGTGCTGGGATTACAGGCTTGAGCCACCGCGCCCGGCCTCATCTTACATTCTTAAATTACGATCAAAAAGTTTTACAGTAAAGAGCTACTTTCCCCGCTATCCTTAATTAATCTTCACAGCAACCTTGTAAAACAAATAAGAAAATGATTATGGTCCTCATATTAAAGAAAAGAAAAAAGAAAATTCAGAATGGTTAAGTGACCTGTCCCTGGTCACACAATGGTTAAGTGGCAGAACGGCATGACCTTGGACAAGTCACTTAATCTTTCACATGTCCATTTCTTCATATGTAAAGTTATGATGACAATAATAATATCACTTCCCTTAAAAAGCGGTTGTCTTGATTAAGCAAATACACAGAGTATTTATTTATTTATACAGTGTTAGGTATAACACATAGAGTATTTAGAACGGTGCTTGTCCCACAATAAGCCTATTTACTCTGATCTGCTCATGGATATCATTCCAAGAATTGTCTTCTCTCCTAAATCATCAAATTTTTCCTCTTTACTGGATTATTCCCTTCAGCATACAAACATGCTCTAATTTCTCTCATCTTAAAAAAAAAATCAAACTTTCTTGGGCCAGGTGTGGTGGCTCACACCTGTAATCCGAGCACTTTGGGAGGCCGAGGCAGACAGATCAATTGAGGTCAAGAGTTCGAGACAAGCCTGACGAACATGGTGAAACCCCGTCTCTACTAAAAATACAAAAATTAGCCAGGTGTGGGGGTGCATGCCTGTAAACCCAGCTACTTGGGAGGCTGAGACAAGGGAATCAGTTGAACCCCAGAGGTGGAGGTTTCAGTGAGTCAAGATCATGCCACTGCATTCCACCCGGGTGACAGAGTGAGACTCCATCTCAAAAAAAAAAACAACAAAAAAAAAACCAAAATTAAACTTTCTTAACCTCAGTTTCTCCTCACGTGAACATTCTATTTCTGTGCTCCCTTTTGTATCAAAATCCCTTGAAGGAGTTGTCTGTAATTCCTCTTCCCCTTTCTCCCTTGAACTTTCTCAAGTAAGGCTTTTTCTCTACCAAACTACTCTTATCAATGTCCTCCAATGGGCTCCATATAGCTAAATTCAATGCTCTTTGAACATTAGAAAATCCATCCTTCCAACTTAAAACGTCTTCTTCCTTTGCCTCCAGAGCACCACTCCCCTGGTTTTCTCCTATCCAGTGGTCTCTCCATGCCAATCTTCCTGCTGATACTTCCTCATTGCCTTTAATCTTTAAGTTAAATTTTTAAATATTGGAGTGCCTCAAGACCCAGCATAGGAGCCTTATTTTCTCCACCCACATTCACTTTCAACATAATCTCATGAAGTCTCATGGCTTTATCACCAATAAGCTCATGATT